AAATAGAAAGAAAATATAGACAATATATTTCATTTATATATATATATATATATATATATATATATATATCCATAGTATCATCTGAAGTTAGGCAAGTGTTATCTTTCCTTCTAAGCAATTCATGTATCCAATATACATGAGTATACATAGTTGGGATCATAGTGTACAACCTGCATCTTGGCTACTTTTACATGTACCTTTCCTGTTCATTAGCATCATAGGACTTTCCTTCTGTTATATTTTAGGTAAAACATTAAAATACCTTTTATGGACTTTTTCTTCTGTATGAGTAATATATATCAAATGTCAATCTAGACCTTCTAGGGTCTGCATGCTTGCAGAAGGAAGCCTGATGGAACCTGCAAATTCTATAATATATATCTTCCCTGACCGTTGTATCAACAAAGTAACTATTTCTTCAAACTGTACCCAGTTGGATAGCTGGACATGGAAGGATCCTTAGGATCCTAGAATTTTTTACTTGTTTAGGCAAAAAGTTGTTTTGTGTTTTTTTGTTTTTTGGGGGGGATCCGGTCGTGGGGCCTGAACTCTGGGCCTGGGTGCTGTCCCTCAGCTCTTCAGCTCAAGGCTAGCACTCTACCACTTGAGCCACAGCACCACTTCCGGCTTTATTCTTTTTGCTTATGTGGTGCTGAGGAATCGAACCCAGGGCCTCATGCATGCAAGGCAAGTGCTCCACCACTGAGCCACCTTCCCAGTCCCCCAAAAAGATTTTTTTTACTGTTGAAAGTTTATTGAAAAAATATAAATTCAGCTTTATCAGTATAGATATTGCCTTTGTATGCTGACAAAGAAGAGATAATTTTCTATAAATGAAAGCCCTTCCTCCATTACATTTGGTGAATCAAGCCTGTAACCTTTGCTATATAGGAGACAGATATGTGGGAATCTTAGTTCCAGGCCAGAAAAGATGAAAAGTTTAAGAGACTCATTCTTAACCAATGGTTGGGCATGGTAGCATGAACCTGGCATATCTGGTGATAAAGGAAAAGTATGAAGATCACAATATAGATTGAATCAGGTAAAAACTGAGAACCTACAAAAATACATGCAAAAAGGCCCAAGTGAGAGAATGTTTTCCCAGAAAACATGGGGCCCTACATTTAATCCCAAGTACATGCAAAGGAAAAAAATCTGTATATACTTGCTATATGCAGCAAAAATAATATCAACTCACTGGGCACTAGTGGCTCGCACCTGTAATCCTAACTATTCAGGAGGCTGAGATCTGAGTGCTGAAGTTTGAAGCCAGCCCAGGCATGAAAGTCCATGAGACTCTTATCTCCAGTTCACCACCAGAAAACCAGAAGTGGTGCTGTGGCTCAAAGTGGAAGAGTACAAGCACAGGCCCTGAGTTCAAGTGCTTTGGCTGCATGACTGACCACACACACACACACATGCATAAAGAGAGAAAGAATAAAAGAGAGGAGAAAGAGAAAGGCTGCTAGTGGGAATATAAGGAAATTATAGTTTGGAGACTCCATAAGAAATTTAAAATATGGAATCACCTGTTATCTAGCCATTTCACACTCCTGGGTAAACATTAAGAAAAGAGCAAGTTGGTTTGAATGTACTATGCAATTTTTAAATTTCTTTTGTATGTTCTTCCCTCTATGGTATATTTAAATTTCTTTTGTATGTTCTTCCCTCTATGGTATATCTCCCGTTGTCATTTTATTTGATTTTGGTACCCTGGTATTGTATATACATTTATTTAAATTAGGGAAGAGAACAGGAAGGACAGAATGGTGAGACAAAGGACGAGGGGGGAACCAAAGCAACAGCGACTTACACAAGACAATAAGTTGGAAATGATCTGTGTAACTTGGGGGATGAGGGGAGAGAAAGTAGGAGAAAAATGAAATACAGGGTAACAAGTTTGACAAGAAATATACTTATTGCCTTACTTTTGTAACTGTAACCCCTCTATACATCACCTTAATAATAAAAAATAAAATGAAAAAAGAAAAAAATAAACTAAAAGGAGGTCTTGGGAAATATAGATGTTTATATGTACTGATGGAAATATTTTTGAGAATATCTAAACTCAAGTATCCCTTGAAGGAAAAGTTAGTAATAAGAATGGGATACATACTTACAATAAAATATTGTTAGCCTTAAATATGAAGGAAATTCTACAATGTTCTATGAAGCACAATGGGTGAACAGTGAGGAAATTGTGCTAATTGATATATATATATATATATCAATTATCAAAAGATGAATACCATATAAGTTTATTTATCCAAGGTCCCGGGGGGGTAGTTTAAATCATAGAAATAGAGAGGAGATGCTAGCATGTGGGTTGAAAGATTTTAGTGTTTAATAGGCAGGAACTTTCATTTGTACAAGTTGGAATAGTTTTGGAGATAATAACATTACATCTAAGTGTATTTAAAGCCACTAAAGGGTACACTTAAAGTGACATTTACAAATTATTGTAATGTCTATTGTATGACAAGAAAAATATATTCATTGAGAAATATGGCAGCATGTAATGGCTGTAATGAAAACAAACCAAAGTCATTATAAAACCACAGATGCTGAGTCAGTTGCTCTTGAAGTTGACTTTATTTTCCTTTTCCTTCCTTCCTTCCTTCCTTCCTTCCTTCCTTCCTTCCTTCCTTCCTTCCTTCCTTCCTTCCTTCTTTCCTTTCTCTTTCTTTCTCTTCTGTCCTTCCTTCTTTTTCTTCCTTTTCTTTCCTTCCTCCTTTTCTTTTATCTTCATTGTAAAGTGGTCAGAAAAGTAGATTGGGGGCCCAGAGACTCGGGCACCCCCTGCTGAGACAAAACTTATATCCAAAGATTGCTCAATGTCTTGGCCAAAAGGACTTATGGCAGGGAAATAATTAGTCTGTCCAGAAGTACCTATTTCAGGATCCAAATGCAACCATGGCAAAGCAGTTAAGAGAGAAAGGGCAGAGAGATAGAGTTTGTATTTCAATAAACTAATTCAAGAAGGCAGGAGAAGGAAAATCACAAGTAGAGAGGATTATTGAAGGAGGTTGGCTTAGACCTATGTAGCTTGAGAATGTGCCACATGGATTGAAATGGGAGCAAGAAGCGCGGTGCATCTGACTGGGGCTGGTTCAGTACAAGGATATGCTTTATTCATTTTAAAGAGAGATCCTGAGAAAACATGAATTTAAGTTAAAAACTTCCTCATCCATTAAAGAAAAAAAATGTTTCTGGGAAACATTTCACATTTTGAAGCCCTTTGCCCTTTTGCTTTCCTCTTAAACATTTTGTTCATATTCACGCTTGTTCTTAAAGAATCTGTTTCAGTTGTCTACTTAACCTTTGGTCAGTTGCCCTCAAGATCCTTTAGACTCAGCTCCTTGCTGAATCTAGGCCAAGATTTATAATGATAACAAAGATCTTGGAACCTCAGAGAGCATTCCATGACCTGAGCCATAAGCCTGGTCTCCCCTGCAAATGTATCTGAGTAGTCTAGATACATCCCCCATCACCTGGATACATTCAGCACCCTCTCTTCACAGTCTTATTCTCTGCACCTTCTGGATGCACAGCCTGGGGCAGAGGATTGCTTAATAGTTAACTGACACTAAGACATCAATGTAGCTCTGAGACAGAACAGCCTGTGTAGATTCTTCTGCTATATTCCTGCAGGGCTAGAGAAGGGTGTTTCTCCCAGTTATTCATTTGTAGCTATTTGTTTGAATGATTTGGTGTTGATCTTTTTCAACTAAGCCTGAATCTCCTTGATAGATGATCTAGTTCTTCTTCATTCCCATGCCTTTAGTATTCAGTGCTGCATCTGAGGTTCAAGGCTGCACAAATACACATATGCTAGGCAGAGGCTAACTGACTCACCCAAAGCATGGTTCACCACCATTTCAAACTCCTTCCCAATGAATTACTTGTGGCTATGATGAGAGACTATTGCTGGACTTGATTATTTCATGGATGACATTCATGAGCTCACCCTATTCATCCTGATCCAGCCTTGAATGCATCTTCTGTCCAATCATCTCACTCCTGGCTCAAATCCCTACAGCATTGATTGCCCATATTCAAATAATTCCTTCCAGCACATATCTTAGCTTACAAAGTTGTCACTTCTAAAGGATATTTGCAACAACTAGGAAATGCTTATTCATTGTAGGACTGTCACTGAACTGGGTTGGGTATTCATTAGAGTCAGAATTGTTACTGGGCATATTGTTATTATCAATATTGTACATGTGGATTCAGGCATTTCCCATCAGATAGTGTTTCATTTCTTTATCATGAACTAGTTAGTGAAAAATACTTAAAAATTTAAGACTTGGGGAAACAAACTAAGAAAATGAGTATGTCAAGAAGAAGAAGAAGAAGAAGAAGAAGAAGAAGAAGAAGAAGAAGAAGAAGAATTAAAAAAAACAATTATGCCATGTGAAAACCATAGAGTAGTAGTCCAATATGTATGGAAGAAAAGAGCTCAGCTGGACTCCAAATTTAACTGACAGCCAGACTGCAAGAAAGATCTGAAGCTCCTTTCCATGGTAAGGTCCCCAGGAGATACTCTCCCTTCCTGGATTTACCTTCGAAAGCAACTGTGTGTCCACAGGCCAAGCATAGACTCACGAGTTGGGATGGACTAGAACAATCCCACGATCAGGAAATCTTGTAAATTCAGGAAACTCCAAAATTTTGTTAATTTTTAAGTTTAAACTTCAAAATGGCTAAAGTTAGAATCCATGCTTTAATAATATTTCACCTTCAATGCTATAAAGGTTGCTTTATACTACACACCAGGGTGAGACTGCTGTCTTCTAATCCCAAAACAAAACAAAACAAACAAAACCTAGGAAGTGATCAGCTCCCTAGCTGGTAGTCAGTGCAGGGTGTTGATTTTACCTTTTGGTTGAGGATGTCTAAGTTGGGCATTTTCACTAAGAGTGGCTCATTTAAGACTCCTGGACTTCAGCCAGCAAGCCGATAAAACCCATCTCGGGGCTGCGTCTGCGTCTCCCCAGGCTCTGAGGTTCCTCCCTTCTGTGGCAGACCCGGAGCAGAGATAGTGCAGGCGCTGGGCAGCAGCGCTGCCGTCAGCGGGTCCTGGCCTGGGCCTCCGCGGGCCATGGCCTCTGGCGCGCCGGGGGAGCGGCTGCGGGAGGAGGCCAGGTGCTCCGTGTGCCTGGATTTCCTGCAGGACCCGATCAGCGTGGACTGCGGTCACAGCTTCTGCCTCAGGTGCATCTCCGAGTTCTGCGAGAAGTCCGAGAGCGCACAGGGGGGCGTCTACGCCTGTCCGCAGTGCCGGAGCCCCTTCAAGCCCTCGAGTTTCCGGCCCAACCGGCAGCTGGCCAGCCTGGTGGACAGCGTGCGGCAGCTGGGACTCGGCTTGGGCGCCGGGGCCTCCAGGGCGCGCCAGTGTTCCTGGCACCGCGAGGACCTCAGCCGCTTCTGCGAGGAGGACCAGGTGGCGCTGTGCTGGGTCTGCGACACCACCCCGGAGCACCGGGGCCACAGCACCATGCCGCTGCAGGAAGCCGCCAGGTGCTACCAGGTGAGAGGTGTTGGGTGCTCCTGTCCAAGCTGGAAAGGTCCACGCTTGAAACCTGGGAATACTGCTCAGACTTAGAAGCAGTCGCAGTTAGAAACGCTAAAGGACTTGCTTTGAAACAAAGCCACTCGCCTGAATTTCCTAAATAACTCCTACTGTCCCCCATCACTCCCCCGCCCACCTCCTCCCTTTCCCACAGCTCACTGGGGTTAGGTTTGCCTTTGTCTGTGATCACCCCTGGTTGAAAACTCAGGGCAGACGCTCAGATGCCCGTCTTCACTTCTGATTGTCCACACAGCTTTGCTGAAGTTCTTCCTCCCCCTGTAATTTCACCTGGTCTTATTTTTCCTGTTGCTCAAAGTCTGAATCCCATGACTGGAGAAAGTGAGTTAATGGGTTACTGTTGTACATCTTCAGTGTAAACGCTCTTAATACCTTTTTTTAAAAAGCACTTATTATCATTAAGTAGTTGTCCAAAAGAGTTTCAATTGAACATGTCATTTTATGAATCTAATGCATCTTGATCATCATTCTCTCCACCTCTAATAATTTTAATTTGCACAATAATTCGCACTATTCTATTTGTGTAGTGCTTAGCTCCATTTTAATTTATATTGCTACCCAAACAAGCCTGAAGTTTGGCCGTTTGTTGACAACAGCATTTGGTTGGGCATGGTTTCTGATTCCCTTTAAAGTGTGAATATGCCTCTCTCCCTTGAATAGGATCTAGGATCAGTAGAGAATTTGTGATATAAACATCCTCAGTGAAAAGCTGGTCCCTACTGCAACTTTGGCCCCTGAATGTGGCATCTGTGAAACCATACAGAATCTCCCACACCAGAGAGCCTCAAAAGTTCATAATGTAAATACACTTAAATCCCCAGCCTTGGAAACACCTACTACAGCAAAAGAGGTCAACATCATTGTCAGTCTACTGACATACTTAAAGTAATTCTATCATTCTTGAATGGATGGCAAATATCAGCTTTCTCAAAATGTTTATTCTTTTTGTTTTAAATTGTGAATTGGGGTATTTCATCTTGTCATACCTATTTTCCCTGGTTTCAACTTTTGGTTTCTGTTGATTTCTTCATAATTCAGATACTTTAAAAGTTATGTTTCTGATAGTTTAAATCCTGAAAGTACCATGAGAAAACATGTCCAATGTAATAGTTTTAAATGCTTTCCATATTTTCCAACAGTTTTCAATTAAGTAACAAACAAATATCATCTTAGCTTCTTAGTCTTGCCATTCAAGATGTTCAGGACTCTGTTATGTTTTTTACTTCTCTCTTATCCTAACCAAACATGGGATCCAGCAAAACTCGCCTAATCACTGTTGTACCCAAACTTGGCACCTTTTCTTCCCCTCCTGTGTTTGCTCACTATTTCTTGAGTTTTAGGGATTTTTTTTCCTTGTACAAACATTAAAAAGAGTAGTGTTCTTTGTAAATATCAAGACAAGTGCCAACATTGCAAATACTAGCTTTTTTAGTATGGAATTACTTCATTATTAATATTATTATTATTATTCATACAATCTTCAACATACTGGTCTATTTATTTATTTACATACTTATTTTATTTGAAATATTACCCATCAAGGTTTCTTCTGGACAAATTAACAATACAAATGTTATTATTATTAAGCACTTTATTTTCCATATAAAACCATATCACTTTTGGATTGCAGCAAGGTTTCCTGTAACTAAACATGTTGGAAATGATCTGAACAACTTGGCAGGGGAGGTTAGGGGGAAAGGGAAGCAGGGAGAAAAACAAGGGAAGGGGTAAGAAGTTAGACAAGAAATGTAATCAGTATATTACTTATGTAACTGTAACCCCCTCAGTACATTACATTAGCAATAAAATTTTTAAAAAATAAAGCACAAAAATTTCCTTTGCCATGATGTAGCTTTATATATTAATTATGAAAAAAACTTCTTTAAAATTGACATTTCATAAACAATATTTAACACAATATTAAATTGTGTTTCTTATTGAATGTTCTGCAACACCATATTTATATTCTATCTTGTGAATATAATATATATTAGATTCTATCTGGGCCTGGGCACTGTCCCTGAGCTTTTCACCTCCAGGCAAGCACTCTACCACTTGAGCCACAGTGCCACTTCAGTTTTCTAGTGGTTAATTGGAGATAAGAGTCTCACAGACATTCCTGCCCAGGCTGGCTTTGAACCATGATGCTCAGATCTCGGCCTTCTGAGTAGCTAGGATTATAGGTATGAGCCACCAGCACCAGGCTGTAGTTTTTACAGTTTGATTACATTTTACTATTGTAAACCATGATGCAATGAATATTTTCCAAATAAATCTTTGATATTCAATTACATTTATTTTCATCTTAGTGATGAATTATATAATTATCTTTCTATATAAAAAGTATATATATACATATATAATGTGTGTTTGCCAATCCTGGGTCTTGAAATCAGGGACTGGGTGCTGCCTCTGAGCTCTTTTACTCAAGGATAGTGCTCTACAACTTCATTTGCAGCTCTACTTCTGGCTTTGTGCTGTTTTTATTGGATGGAAGTGTCTCGTGGACTTTCCTGTCCACACTGGCTTTGACCTATAATCCTCAGATCTCAGCCTCCTAAGTATCTAGGATTACAGGCATGAGCCATGGCCTCCCAGCCTAATGCCATTTTTTACATGTTTCCAGAAACAGTTTTATCTGTTCTTTGTGTTTTTCCACATCTAGGGGATGTTAGATCCTAAGCAAGGACACCTGTAATGGTTTTGGCTTATGTTTCTAAACAGGTAAAGCTCGAGATAGCTCTGGAACATGTGAGAAAAGAGATGGAAGAAGCATTGACTCAGGAGGTCAATGTGGGGAAGAAGACTGTCATTTGGAAGGTAAGGGAAGGTTGGGGGTTCTGGAAGATTAACTGATTACAGAAGCCAAATCTCTAATTGTTCAAAAAACAACATGTTAGTGTCATCTTGGATCATCTTATCCTTCCAATTATATATTTTTATTTTTGTTCTGTTAACATGCATTGACATTATCCAATCAAAACTAAAAATGAACAGTTTTACTCTCCTGATCTTACCTAAACTCACTCTTGTATCATTATTACTTACTATTGTAGTGAACAAATAAATTGATTAAATGAATGTAATAACATCACATGACTTTATAACAGATGCAGTATACCTAATAGTAATCATTTCATTTTATTTCCTGACTTCTACCCAAATAGTCCTTTTACATACCACCTAGTTCTTTCTCTTATCATTTTGTTTACATATATGCATGCATATACACACACACACACACACACTCACACTGAATTTCTTAAACTGAAGTGGTTTTACCATCTTCCCCACATGTTTTGCAGTATCTGGTGATAGTTTAGGCTGTCATATTTCTGGGAGGTATAATATGATACTCTCTTTTGTGTAGGGCCAGAAATGCTGCTAAACACCCTACCATGTGTAGGACAGTTCCCACACCCCACAACAGAAAATAATCTTGTTAAACTGTCAGTAGTGGCAAGATTATGAAACTGTATATAGACCCTATGGGTATAACATACACATTGAGATAATAATGAGATCCCTGTACAAGGTCAAGTCAGTCTGCATGGCTTTCACTAATATACCCATAGGAGCCACATGTAACAAGGTCAAGTATGATAAAACTTGTATCTGTATTCTGCAATGCCTTTCTTTCTGTTTCTGCAGTTATTATTATAGCACTAAACAGGATAGTGTGAAGAGATGGTAAGCTCAGCAAATCCCTTCTCCAAGAATGATTTCTTATACCCAGATATATTACCACTCTTTTCCAGCAACTGAGACATCAGACCTACTGTTCTATAGAACAGCTTCCAATATGGAGGAACAATGCATATAATTTACATGTTTTTCATTTTTCAGAAAACAAACTGCAGGGTCAGAGTCATGCAACTTTAGTAAATGACCAAGATTATTGAATCAAGTGATTTAGAAAGTGATAAAAGAAAATAGGAATGGAAAATTTGAGGAAACTTTTATCTTAAGAGATTTGGAGAGAAATGATACTGGGTTTTAAAACGTGATGGTTTTTGTTTTTCAATGAATTTCAAAAATGGTAAAGTCAGAGCAGAGAACTCAAGATGGAAAGATTTTGAAAATATGATTCATCTGTAATTTCAAACTGGATTTCTACATTCTTATTTCAAGAGAATAAGATTTAGATTCAGCAACCTTTTAGCCACAGACTTCCTTAGGTCTACTCAGAAACTGTAGATGGGATATTTGAGTAGAAATAGTATTGTAAATTGAAATAGTATACTAAATTGAAATTAACCATGAAATAAGTGATCAAAGTCTTGGTTCTACAGTGAGCAGCAATGAATGACTGCTTTCATACTATCCAATCCAAGTATCTTCTTCACATTTGCGTGTCTTTTTTTTCATCTCTCTGCATTGCTCAATATTTGTGCCACTAATCTAGTAGTAGGACAGAAACTTCTGTTGGTGTCTACACTGTGTCAGTCATTGTGTTCTGAACCACAGTGAACCATATTACCCTACATTCCTCTTGAAACTTCTATCTACTTGCCTGCAAGCCTATAGCAATAGGGGAACTGAGTCCAACTTTCTCAGATTCTGGGTTTGGCAACTCTGCAAGACATTTGTCCAAAGCTTCCAGTTTCTGTGTGTGTCGTTGGAATTCACTCATCAGTCTCCAGAGCTTCAGGCCTGAAGGGTCTGGGAACTGAGGACATTACTTTCCCCAATCTCCTGCAGGCAGGAAGTCCTGATCTTTTACCCCACTCTCTGCTGACATGGTCTACCATGTCATTACAGGAGAAAGTGGAATCGCAGAGGCAGCGCTTCAGGTTGGAGTTTGAGAAGCACCGTGGCTTTCTAGCCCAGGAGGAACAATTGCAGCTGAGGCGGCTGGAGGAGGAGGAGCGGGCTACCCTGCAGAAACTGCGGGACAGTAAGAGTCAGCTGGTCCAGCAGAACAAGGTCCTGAAAGAGCTGGTGGAGGAACTGGAACAACGGTGCCAGCAGCCAGCCCTGAGTCTACTGGAGGTGAGGAGGGACCGGGTTCAGACAGATGTGCAGCTAAGGACACAGAAGTGAGCACCCCAGGATTCACCAACCAGCACTTAAGCATCCTTGCTCTCAGGGAAACAGCACCCTAGAACTTAATGCCAAAGCTGCATGATGCCAAATGCTAGTACCACTGCCAGAAGGCACTCTAGAGAAGTGGATAGTTCATATTCAACACGGACAATCCTAACTTCTTAAGAAAGTAACCGATTTTGGAAATCATTTCAAGATTTCTGCAAACTTATACAGGAACAAGTCATCACCCCATCCTGGCTGAGAAGCAATAGATTTTCCGAGCTGATGTCCATCCGAAAAGCCTTTCACAAATCATGCCCGTGTAAATAGCCCAAACTATGCTTTCAATTGTCTAGCTTGAAACTTTCTTGCTCAGATTTAAGGCCAGGAAGCTTTACAAAACCACAGTGGGAATCAGAGCAGAAAGGATAACAGAGATCAGGAAAAGCTTGGTTATATCGCTTTATAAAGTCATCAAACGCAAAGTCAGCATGAAAATTGGGTTGTTGCTGTGTTATCTTTACAGACCACTTGCAACATAAAGCCATTTGGGCTCAGGTTTAGTGCCTCCTCCGCCATGACTACTTCAGGGAATTCTCACTGAGATGTGAATACACATCCTCCCTTATCAGTTGACCCACAGAGTATTTTTTTTTATTTAATTTTATTTTAGTTGTGAACATACTGTACAGAGGGGTTACAATTGCATGGGCAGGATAATGCGTACATTTTGTATCAAGCATTGTAGCCTCCTCCTTTGTTTACCCTTCACATCACTTCCCAGCCTCCCCCCTCCCCCCCAATCCCAATCCTTCCCCCAGAGTACTTTTATATCATTTGTCTTCTTTAATCTCTAACATATCTATATATAAGAAAAGTTTAAGTTTTGGTATTAACAGTGTCATCAGTATTGCTGTTCCTTTCTATATAAATAAATAAAAGATCTAAAAGAAATTAACTTTATGTTCTGCAAGCAGAAAATAAAAGGAATTTCAATTTCTCCTCTTCCTTCTCCCTACCCTCCTCTACCTCCTTTTTCTTTTTTTTGTGCCAGAACTGGGGTTTGAATTCAGGGTTTGTGCTTCCACTTGGCTTTTATGTCCTAGGCTGGCACTCTACTACTTGAGCCACAGCTCCACTTCCGGCTTTTTGGTGGTTCGTTGGAGATAAGAGTGTCATGGACTTTCTTGCCAAGGCTGACTTCAGATCATGATCCTTAGATCTCAGCCCCTTGTATAGCTCTGATTACAGGCATGAACCACTCACCCTGGCCTTCAATAATTTTACAGTATAGCATACATTGCCTTTCTTCACACTATTTCAAATAACACCTTATTTTAAGTAAGTATTCCCTTGTACCACATGAATATTAAAAAATGTAATATAATTCTTAGGGGGAATATATTCTATATAATTTATATTTATGTTCATTGCCTCCTTTCTCCTTTTGACATCATTTTTATATATGATAAGACAAGTTGTCTCCTTGCTTTTATGCTGTCAAAATGTATCTGACTGCTAACTAATTTTAGAGAGCAGAGATATTACACATTAACTTATTTGGTTATCTACTTAGAGATAAAATGTTGATGCTGCCAATTGCTTCCTTTCCTTTCAAGGGCACATAAGTAGCTTTGCTGTGATACTTCAAAGACTTAGAAATTTGAAGTTCTCTTACAAAGGTATTGAGGGTAGTATTTTATATTTACATCTACATCTTTACCTCAGATAAGTTCTGAAAATAGTTCAGAGTTGTTTAACCCTAAATTGATTTGCACTAGGTACATGGGCCAATCGACAGAATTTATCTGTTCAGAAAATAGTCAACTTGATAGATTTCATAGGAATTAACTTGTATGCTTTCTGATTCTGTCCTAATAATTATGACTATATCAGTTGGGATTTCTGAGAGTGTTAAATTGTAGTGCATTTCTTTTTGCTTTAATAAACAGACATTCATTATCCCCTACAATTTTATTGTAAATATTAACAATTTGTATTAATCTCTTACTTATATTAAACTTTAACTGTCAGTAGCAATTACAGATTTCACTCATCTCTGTCCATGGTTCTCTTTTAGGGTGTAAGAGACACTTTGAGCAGGTATGTTTTCCTTTTATATTGACTGGGGTTTGGTAGAGGTGGAGTTGGCTGGTCGGTAACTATACTGGCACCTGATGGTTCTACGTTCTTTTAGAAGTTCAGCTGTCATTCGGCTGGAACCAGAGACCATTTCCATGGAGCTAAAGACAGTGTGTTGCATTCCTGGGATGAGGGAAATGCTGAGAAAATTCCAAGGTAGGCTGAATCTTGGAGCCTAGGGTGCTCTATTACCTGGGGCTGGATTGTTTTTACAGTTTATTATATACTAGTCAACGGCAGAAGAACAGCAACAACAAGCACACTCAACATCTTACAGGCAAAAATCAGAAAGGTTTACTTTGAGAGCATTACTACCACACCCAGATTATATGAACTTCTGTGTGCTTGCTTTCTACAATTTGGGCCAGGACTCTAGTACAGAATTTTAGAGATGAAGTTTGGTAATTTATCTGCCTGAGCTGGGAAATTTCAATTTTCCAGGTCTCCACCTCTTGGGTACCTAAGATTACACATGTGAGCCATTGTTGCCTGGCTAAACAAACCAGTTTTTTTTCTCCTATCCTTTCATATTTTTACTAAACTCAGCACCATGGTCACTAAAATGTGTGTAAGTTTCTCTCAGCAAGCACTGATGAAATCTCCATTGATTTCTCTGGGTGTCTAATGTAGGTCAATTTTGACCTATCCACATGAAGATGGTAACAGATCTTACCAAATGCCTATCTCATAAAGATGTCTTCCCAAATCCAGATGTCAATGATAAACAGGTTGTGACCTGTGCTGCTGACCAACTAGTTATAAATCAGGTATCTCCTGATTCTATCCTGAAGTCCAATTTTCTAGACTGGCTTACCCAACTCAGAGAAATACTTACTTGTACTAATTTGTTGTAAAGGATATAATAGAGACCATAAATAAACATCCAGATGAAAGAAATGAATAAGGTAAGGTGTAAAAATCAGATGATAGGAGCTTCTACTTTCTCTGGCTGCCATTCCTTCCAGGAACCTCCATCTTTTCATCTATCTAGAAGTCTTCAGTTCTTTTGGATTTTTAAAGGAATGTGTAGTTACAAGTGATTAAATCATTGGCCTATCAGCTCAGTCTTTTATCAGTTCCTCCTCAGAGGGACAGATGACTAAAAATTTCAGCTCTAGAATCTCACAGTTGGTTTTCCCGGTCAGTAGTCCCATGCTGAGGCTATCTAGAGAGCTCAACATGCAATCATCTGATTGACATAAAGAATACTTTCCTCAATTGAGGACCAGGCTGCCCCTAGAGCTATATGAAGGATGAAGATCAAATATGCACTGAGAAATATCACCATGATTGCTCAGTGTTTTTAAACAAATTCATTCTGAAGTAGGCCAAGTAACTTTCCAAGTTTACACTGGCTAGAAAATTCACGTGGCTATTTCAAACTATAAAGTGGAGTATTCCTTTCATATAAAATGTGTTTTGGAATACTTGCAAATAATTCTAATCAATATAGGAATTAGGCATCCAGATAATATGCATGTAGTTAGACCGATGGACCTGATTGCTGTAGTGCATGTGGTTCACTGTGACCAGAGTAATATCTCTTCCAGTCATATAACGTCACACAGTTATGAGGATGAATAATACCAGGATATAAATATGGGATGAATTTAGAATTCTGGATGAGTAATACCAGAATATAAATAGGAGATGAATTTAGAATTCTATCATAATAACTTTGAATAATAGATTTCAAATGAATGAGAATTCTCTATATCTCATCAATAATAAAAACACATGGGAATATTCTACGAAGTGCATTCAAATACTCTGTACATGTACCAAAGGAATTTATATGATTGTGTATTTGGTTTCTGATACTGTCAATAGCTATACCTGAATTTGGGGAATATAATAATGCCTGGATAAGCAGCGATCATGGTAGAATAAACAAGAAAATAAGGAAAATTCACTGCCAGGTGAGTGCTTGTATGTCTCTTTAGGAGTTATCAGAGAGAGAAAAGTGAGAAATCATGAGAATTCATGAAATGAGATTCTCATGAGAAACCTGAAATTGAATTCCGTGGTCGGACTGAAGCAGTTCTCGGCACTTCAAGAAAACAAAAAGCTCTTAACTGTTTCGTAATGCCTTCTGATTTTGGAAACAATTCTTTCCGCAGTTGACGTGAAGCTGGATCCTTCCACGGCGCATCCCAGCCTCCTCCTGACCACAGACCTGCGCAGTGTGCGGGATGGAGAGCTGTGGAGAGATGTCCCCAGCAATCCTGAGCGATTTGATACGTGGCCCTGTGTCCTGGGCCTGCAGACTTTCTCATCCGGGAGACACTACTGGGAAGTTGTGGTGGGAGAAAGAGCAGAGTGGGGGTTGGGAGTCTGCCAAGACACAGTGCCCAGGAAGGGGGAAAGCACACCGTCCCCAGAGCATGGCGTCTGGGCCGTATGGCTGCTGAAAGGGAACGAGTACATGGTTCTAGCCTCTCCCTCCGTGCCTCTTCTCCAACTGGAGCGGCCTCGCTGTGTAGGCATCTTCCTAGACTATGAAGCCGGGGAGATCTCCTTTTACAACGTCACAGATGGATCTCACATCTACACATTCAACCAAGTGTTCTCTGGTGTTCTCCGACCCTATTTTTTCATCTGTGACATGGCTCCTCTGTTTCTGCCACCGATGACTGAAGGAGAGGCTGGAGATTGGGCAGCCAGGGGTTTTCTTGGCCTTGCCTCTAGTGTTGGAGATGCACTGCCCTGAAGTTGCGTTCTCAAGATGTCCTGCTACCCTGACAAACACCTTGGAGTGTAGCACAGCTTATGAAGACTGAACAAATGCCACATTGGGGCAGCACTTTATTTGTCATTGTGGTGGAGGTTATCTCATGAGGACCAAAGAGAAGATGAAAATTATTTGCCTATGGAGGAATGGAGTATAATAATTTTGGAAATGGAGCGAGCTCATCAAACTGTTTCTAGATGGCTACCTATATGTTTCAAGGCATTCTGCACTACTGGCGGTGTATGGAATGCTTTCTGTACATCTATTCTTTTCCATGCCTTTTCATCCTTAATGTTCTTTATGTTATGATTTGGAAATGGCAATTCTCTTTTCTGAAACAGGTTCTCCCTATGTAGTCCAAGTGTCCTTAAACTGAATGTCCTCCTGCCTTAGTTTTCTCAGTTTAGGAATCACAGACATCAATTAATTCATTCAAAGCAGTCTGATATTGTTCTAGATAAGGTCTATAATTCTGAATGTTTTTCTTCTCATATTCCTCATTTATTTCCTGTCTCTTGCGCTCTCTTTGCTCTTTGCCTCTTGTTAAGCCTTATATTTCTTGCTAAAATAACATACAACTATTCCTTTATATTATGTTACACATGTTCCCTATCACCATTTTTATTTTTTTTACTGTCCTCATTCTGTAACTATTTTTTGAGTTATGAAATGCACTAATGTGAATCTAATATCCCCAATTCCTAGAATTTTCCTCTTCCTCTTCTGTGACTCATGGCCTGTTCTCCACGTTTTCCATGCTTTCTCCTGAGTCTTATCATCGCATTGTGCATTTTAGCATAGTTTAGGTCAGTCTTCAAACCACTCCAAGTTTTTCTTCATCTTTTGCATTCTAATCTTACCAATAGTCATGCACCTTCTCCTACGACTTTTTGTCTTCTACTTTGCAATTCTCAAAAGGTTTCCACCATTCCCTCTGTCTAGAATATTACCACAAAGTAGTTGAAATCCCCACCAATTTCCAGGCCTTCCTTATCCCTTCTTCCAAATAGTAGCTTTTTTTTAATACACTCTGAGTTCAAAATAGACATAAAACTCAATATGTCTAAACCCAAACCCTTTAAATCTCCTTACTGCAAAAATATAAAGGCTTCCCCATCTGTGAGCCTGGCAACGCCTTTCAGTCTGTTGCTTAGAGCACCATCTGAAGTCCCTCCTTCTTGACTTTGTCATTCTGCGTCCCACCCCACAGCAACAGCAGGCCTGAGGCTCTGCCATTGGAAGGTGTTCGGAGTATGGCCAACTCAAATCACTGTGCTGCGGTGATGGCAGTCTGACTTCCAGCACTCCCCCACCTTCCAGATTGCTGCGTTTGACCCTTCTTACATTCAGTCGCAATACCACATTTGGATTTAGGCATGAGTGCCCCAAACAATGGTGTCATTGCAGTGGCCTCTGGCTAATTCTGCACAGTAAGCTCTTAGGTCCTAAAGGAACTGAACCCCAGTCCCTCCCCTAAGTCTGTCCTTCACCTCCAGCATGCTTTCTTTTTTTCTTCCCCACCTGCCCCAGACTCCAGGCTGAGTTTATATCAAACAGGGTACTTCTTAACCCAGGGCCTTTTCCTAGATGGGATTTCGTCTTGAAATTCACTTTTTACTGATGCCCATGATGATTTCTTCCCCTTCCTCCTCTAAACCCCCTCACAGCCAGCCAGCTTCTTGGTGAGGATATGCAGTGCTACTTCTAGAAAGCACCCCACCCCCTAGGGATGCCCTTGCTGGTCTCTCTTCCAGCCTTACAGAAGCTCATTTCCCCCCCATAGAGTGTGATTGGGCTTTAGTGTATCTAGTGTTCTCTTTATTTGTTAAGCTTTTATTTAATTATTTATTTGCCATTATGTAATAGGATATCACCACCAGGAAGGCATAGATATTTGTCTATTGACAATCAACAGACTGAGTACTTCAAATATTTATTTGTAGGTGACAAATGCATATTGTTGACTGAACAAACAATTGACTATTTATAGAGCAGAATTAATGATAGAACCCAAATTGTTTACCAAATGTAATATATTTTATTCACATTATTGTTTGTCACTAGACAACCAATGTCCAAGAAAGTGCAATGCCAAGTGCTAAATGGGAAAAAAGCAAGAATAGGAAACAAAGCTGGAAAAGATCATGGATTATAGTGAAATTATCACTTGCACAATCAGGCAGAGTTCTACTGAGCCTCCCGGAGTGATGGATCTCTGTGTCATCACCAGGACACTTTAGAATTCTACATTGCCTCATACTTACCCATAAACCATCTCTCTAAATGTCAAGATGGGAAGGAATGTGGAGAGTTTTCTCTGAACCCATATGGAATAAACCTTTCTTTAAAAATAGATCCTTTCCTGGTTTATGTGCCTATCTTCATCTGAGCTTATGGAACATACAATTGGGGTGTCTGGGATCTGATATCCTTCCAATCACTTCCCTATCACTGTGCACTATTTTCTTGTTACATATTGGAGTTTTTCAAGTCCAGATCATTGTGCTTCCTTTTGAGTCTTCTTTCATATATCATTAGCACTGTTCCAGCCATTTTCATATTCTTTTTATTTATTATTATTTTATTTATTTGTTTCTTTTAGTCAGTCAGGGGCCTGAACTTGAGGCCTGTACACTGTCCTGGAGCTCTTTATTTTTTTCAAGGATAGTGCTAACTACTTTGAGACACAGCACCACTTCTGGTTTTCCTGTGGTTAATTAGAAATAAGAGTCTCATGGATATTTCCTGCCCAGGCTATGAACTTAGATCCTCAGATCTCAGTCTTAGTAGAACAAGCATGAGCTACCTGCATCCAGATCTAAATTTCTTTTAATTTGTGTTAAGAAGAATTAAAATGTCAACCCTAGGATTTAAATTCTAGTTTTTTTCTGAGCTGTCAATTTATGGAAGTATGATTATATTTCAAGAAAACTGGATGAGTGATTTTTTTCCCCCAGTCTATACTAATTTGACAATTTCTTCTCTACTACATAGTTTTGGAGAACTGCAATTTGCTCCTGAGATCTACTTAAAAGTGATCAGGGAGCCGGGTGTTGGTGGCTCACACCTGTAATCCCAGCTACTTGTCAACTTCACATTATTGTTGTTGGAGTTAAATGATAATAAAGAATAAAGGAGAATACCTGACTAATAGTAATTGCTCCACTAAAATCTCCTCTTGCAATTATTAGTATTATTTCCTACAGGTATAATAGGCAGGGATGGAGCAAATGGTAGCACTCAAAATCATTGAATTGTTTTGGACTTTTCTCACAACCCCCATCTGGAGAAGACCCTCATTGTGGTCATCTGACCTTACCTACCTGACCCTTGTGGGAAACATCAGCATCATCCTGGTGTCCCCCAACTTGGACACCCACCTCCACACTCCCGTGTACTTCTTCCTCACCCACCTCTCTTTCCTCGACCTCAGTTTAACCACCAGCTCCATCCCAGGGCTGCTCTATAATCTCAGTGGACACAAGACCATCAGCGATATCCGCCTTTCCATCCAGCTCTTCCTGTTCCTCAGTCTCGAGGGTGTGCAGTGCTTGCTGCTACCCATCAAGGCTTAGGACAGGTTTGCTGCTGTCTGCAGACCCCCTCACTACACGGTGATCATGAGTCCCAGTCTCTACTGGGACTTGCTGTCGTAGCCTGGGGGTGTGAAGTGGCTAACTCTTTGATTATGTCTCCAGTGACCATACACTTAGTCTGCTATGGACACCACCAGGTTTGATCACTTCCTATAGAGAAGCTATCTCTGATTCAGATAGCCTGTGTCATACAGCAGCCATTGAGGACATCATCTTTGTCTTCAGTGGGCATTGTGTTGTCACCCTGGTGTTTATGTTAATCTTCAATGGCTGCATTGTAAGGGCCAAGTTCCAAATTCTTTCAGTGTCAGGGAAGCAAAGGCCCTTAACACATGTGGCTCCCGCTGCACGATGGTCCCCTTCTTTTATGGAAATGTCATGCACCTGTTCATGCAGCCCAGAAACAGCTCCTCCCAGCACCAGGGCAAGTTCTTCACCCTCCTTTACAACACTGCGCCCCACATCTCAGTCCTTTGATCCATAAGCTTAGAAACTAGGAAGGAAAGGGAGCTCCCAGAAGGCAGCTGTGGGGTGACAGAGAAGTCAACAAGATATAAGGAGACAACGATTAGTTACCTTGAACCTGGACTTCACTTCTGAAGGATCCGATCCTGAAATTCTCAACTGCCTTGCCTCTTTGAGATTTCAATTCAGCTGTGTTCTCATATTATATGTTGTGTGCATGAACTGTGTGATACAAATAACCTAAAACCTCTCTTGATGAATCTGTCTGCAATATGAGTCCGAAGAAGAAAATGAGGTAAATAATTGTACAGCTAAATTTCCACCAAGTTGCACCAGAGAATCAATTCAGAGACAACTTTTTCTAGAGTTTTGTTTCTGTTGTTAATTACTCAGTGGTTACACTTGGGTACCAATGGCCCAATCCCATTATCCTAACTACTTAGGAGGCTGAGATTTAAGGATTGTCAGTCCCAATCATCCTGGGCAGAAAAATCTGTGAGCCTCTAATCACCAATTACCAAAACCTGAAAATGAAGCTGTGGCACAAATGATAGAGTTCCAGCCTTGAGTGAAAAAGCTTGGGGACAACACCCAGTTCCTGACTTCAATTCCAGTACTGGGCCACGTGTGCGCACGCGCGCGCACACACACACACACACACACACACACACAAATTTACTTAACAGTATAAGAGAAACATTAATTTTTTTTTACTGGGCCTGTGAATTAACTAAAAGCTGGGCACCTAACCCTCACCCCACTTTTCATCTGGCCTCTTTGATCTGAACCATTCCCATTTTATAACAATCTTGAGCTCTAGGAAAAATTAAATTCACAGTTATATGTCTTGTGACAAAAGGCAAACTGCCCCTCACACAGGCAGTGCTTTCTTATTATAGACCACTTGTCATCCCTCAATAGGTAAAGGCTGAGATAATCACCAACCAGGCCATATTTGTGACTTGGGACTGTTTTGGATTTTCATACTTTCTCATGCCACGCTCTAATTTTCTCTATTTAAATGGTACCCAGGAGAAAGTTGAAGATGTACTGAAATGCTGTTGTCCCAAGGCTGCCACATAATCTCCTTTCTCTCCCCTTCACCATATCTCTTTACTGGTATATGAGGGCAGTGGCCAGACCTAATATGCAAGTCCTGGAGTTTGGACTACTTTCAATAGCATTTGACTCATGACTCCAAATCTATTAGTGCTCTTGACCAAAAGCATCTTTATTGATTGATCTCTATTGTACATTGAATTCAACATGGTTTAGTGATTTTTATTTCCTCAATGCTCTTTGATAACCTTCCGTGTTTTATTTCTGTCATTCATCTCCAACGTTAGGCATTTCCAAAAGGTCTGGTATATAGTGCCAGTAACATCAAAAAGCTAACTTGAAATAATAATAATATAGAAATAATAATAATAATAAGAGTTAATAAACTCTTGTTCTGGAGATATAATTTTAGTTTTATTTGTGAAGGAAGCTTCTTATGTGTTTATTTCCTGCCTGGAGCTCTTAATTCATTTATTTATCTCAGCCTTTGTTTGAGGTCAGAATAATTATCATCATTTCACTTATTTGGTATACTATTGCAGACCTAGCAAGAAGGCAAATCCTTCTGTTCCAAGGGAATTGATTCTGTCTCACTCCCAGTTCTAGCTTTTATCAATACATGACATTTCAAAGAACAAAAACCTAAGCGCATTTGATGAGTATGAACAAAGATCATTTGAGTGTCAGGAACTTAACTAGCTCCAGTCCAGAGCCACTAAACTGCACACAGATCCCCTGAAATGTTGGAACACAGGTTATGATTTAGTGGGCCTTGTGGGGGCCTGTGAGTCTGCATTTCTCCAAATTTCCCAGGAGTGACCACCCAGGACTCAGATATCACATTGTAAAACTAAGGACCAGGAGCCCCTACATGTCCTGTCCACCAGGGTCAGAAAGTGAATGAGCTAAAAACTCAAATTTGGTTTCTTCCACTCTTCTTAAAACAGATCTTCTTTGACATCAGGGCTATGGGGCATATCACCCATACACTCAGCAAGCAGCTGGCTTATGCTGAAGACTGCTACCAAGCACACAGATAAAATGGATGGGAATTCTTTACACTTCCTAGACTTTACCCTCTAGGAACCTCCATGTGGATGGCTGTCTAGAAGGCCCCTAAGTCCTGTTTGGTTCTAGAGGCATACTGAGTCAAGGGCTTTGTTGGCAACTGGCAGTCAGGTCATCAGTGAACAAAGTGTATAATTTTCTTGCAAGAATATTGATAAATGTCACCCAATTTTCATTTCACTCAATTAATAGAGTCACTTAGCAAATCAGTTACAATGTGAAGGAAAAAGCTAGATGTTATTATTGCTGTTAATAGAAACAAAATTCTTTACAAAATGAAAAAGAAGTCATGATGACTCTTTATCATAGCCATTAAGTTTTCCTGAAACAAATTGGAATAATTGCAATTAGGGTTGGAGCTTAGGAAACAATACCTCAAACTGATTCGGTGGTGTGTTGATAAAAAAAAAAAAAAAACTTAGAACCTACTGGGAAACACAGTCCTTCTGCCCTTCCTTTATCAAGGAGGGCTGGCTGGGAAGTTTCCTTGTGTACATGACCATCTGCCAAAGTAGTCCAGAGCTGCTTTGAGGTCTCTTAATCAAAATATCATTAACCAGAGAAGTCTATGATCATATCTGAAGAAAAGAGATAGGTATATTTCAATAGGCCTCTATTACTCACCATTACTCTGTATTTTGGTCACAAGGAAAGTAATTTAGAATTGTATGTTCTTATATGTTTGTTTCTTTGGACCCAACAGACTTTGTCTTAGGCCACTGTATTAGCTTCAAACCTCAATGATCTCACCTGAAATTTGTCTGCATTTCCATTCTTCTCCCTCCTCAGGAGAAAGTTCATATCAGTTTTTGAATCCATTGTTTAGTAAATAAACCTAAATAACCTCTCAGCTACAACTCTTTCTTGGTTTTGAGAAAGTGCCAATGGTAATTGAAGCAGACTTCTGGGTTCTGTTAGAGGCATGAGAAAAACATGTAAGACCAAGACTTGTAGCACAGTGGCCCATGTGCTTGTTAGCTGTTTGAACCTGTGATTCCTGCAGAAACTTCTCAGCACTGCTACATGATCTAGGCAAGCAAATAATGTATAACATGTAAAGGATCCTTACTGAGTTTGCAAAACCAAAAAGAGTTAGAACTGGAAATCCAGGGGTCTGATATGAACCTACTAAAGTCTATCAAAAATAATTCACCCCAAGTCAGTTGCCAGAAAAGGAGAATTAGACCAGGAGTGAGGATAGGTCTCAACATTTTTTTCAGGAGGTATTGCATCTGACTCTATCCAGGGTTATTTTATTTACCTGAATAAATACTGGAGAAAAGGAAGTACATATTTAATGGGATAAGTTAATGATAACACTGTAAGTCATTAGTTTTGAGCTGTTTATGTATAGTAGGTGACAAACAGCTTGATCTCAAATACTCATACCAAAAAGATAATTGAAATAGAAAAAAAACTAGAAGTTTTGGAAGTCTGATCAAAGGTTAGCCCAGTAAAGAGCCTCTGTCATCTTCAGTGAAGCTACTAATAGCCTGTGTTTCATGTCAAAACTGGACCACATAGTGTTTGTTGTTTGACATAGTATGTATAAAAGAGTCAATCCTTAATATAAGACCATATAAAAATATATATGACCTTAGAACCAACAGTTCAGGGGATAATGAAGAATAGTAAAGATAATTATTAAGACAGAAGTCTTAATAGAGGTCGCTATATAATTGTATTTCTGACAATATACTATAATTTGTAAAATTTCTTCCTTTGGAGCAATGCATTCCACTTCTGGCGGGTGTCAGTATTGGTTAGTTTTTTGCCCATAATAGTCCTTTGGGCCTGAGCTAAAATGAGCACTAACTTCATTAGTTTCTGTGTTTCCTTTGCTTTTTAGCAATTTTCCACCCATACTCTCCACATTGCACCTTGACTATACATTCCCACTGGCTCATTCCAGCAAGTACAATAATAGAGATATTGAACTCAGACAATACTTAGCAATTTAAATGTGAAACTGGGATGAAATACAGGCTATGTCGGCTCACAGCCAGCAGGGGCCGCTGGACGGTAGCAAAGTATTAAGAAAAACTTGAAACGGTAGGAAATGCAGCCAACCTCTTGGGACAATGCAGACACTGCAGTTGATGTTAGGCAAAATGAACCCCAAGATAAGGACTCAAATGTCTTTTTTCCCTCTCTTGCTATTGTTTCTAACATATTTATAAGATGATTTCTTTGTTGCTTTGTATGTCCCTCCCCCACGGTATAACCCTTGTGTTCACTGTATTTGATTTTGGTATAATTTGTGGAGGGGAAGAGAAAAAACAAATTGTTTAAACAGGGATACAGGTGGACCCATTGCAACAATGAGATGTACAAGACGTTATGTCGAAAAAGGAACCTTACAACTTTGGCATGGGGAGGAGATGGGAAGGGATGGGAAGGGGAAACAAAGGAGGAGGCAACAATGCTTGATAAGAAATGTACTCATTACCTTGCCCATGTAACTGTAACCCCTCTGTATGGTATTTTCACAATAAAAAAATAGGAAAATAAAAGAAAAAGAAACTGCAGAATCATAGAAGACAAAGGAGCCTCACAATGGGGTGTAAGCTCCAGGCCCAGAGACATTTGCTCAGTTGTCTGTTAGCAAGAAAAAGTGTTTTTCCTCCTTTTTGGCTGGGCTATGAATGAAACTGACATAAAAGCAGATGCATGGGAGAAAACATCACCTTAACATCTTTCATATGAAGGGGAGTTTTACATGTGAATAAAAGAAAGCTAAAGCTACTAAAAATATGCAGCACTGGCTAAGGAAAAGGGATGGGTGGATGGGGACTTCTGGGGGGAATGGCAACAAGGTGTAAAGGATAGGGAATGCAAAGTGTAAAAAGTCACCTTGTTACGCAAAATCACTCTCCCTGTTGCCATGAATTAGCTAAAAGAAGGAAAAACAAAGTAGGTATCTTTGCTTCCATTTTGTGTTTATCATTGTTCTAAGTAGTTTCTT